ATATATATATATATATATATATATAATATTTGTAAGAATATATAAAAGGGGCCAGGATTTAGCTCAGCCTGCCTTGCAAGCCAAGGACCTGAGTTCAATCCCCAGTACCAAAAAGAATACACCAAAGGAAGGATAAAATTTTAAAAACAGGTTTTCAGGGCCAGGGATTTAGCTCAGTAGCACTGCACCTGCCTCTTAAGCACAAGGTCATGAGTTCAATTCCCAGTACCAAAAACAAAACAAAAAACACATATTATACATTTATAATAAGAATCAAGATACATCATGAATAAGAACCAAGACACATCATGTAGGGCCAGGGATTTAGCTCAGCAGTTCGGTGGCCTTCCTTGCAAGTGCAAGGATCCGAGTTCAATCCCTGGAACCAAAAAAATAAAAAAAAAAAAAGATACATCATGTAAAGGTACAAGATCCCAATGATGAATGTAACTGTATTATCCACCTAAAATGTATCAATAAACTTAAAAAGGACAAAAAACAAAAACAAAAACAGGTTTTCAACTGACCATATCAGATATTTCAAAGGATGTAGAATGGAAATCTCACATACTGATGGTGGAAATGCATAATAGCACAAGTACTTTGGAAAAATAGTTTAGCACACCTATCACTGTCCCAGCCATTACATAATTAACCAACTATCTAAGAGGAATGAAATATGTTCATGCAAAGCTCTGTGCATGAATATTCACAACAGCTTTATCTACCACAGTCAAAACCAGGAAACAATCAACAGATGAAAATGAATATGTAAATTTTAGTGTAACTATTATTTGAGCATGTAGTTTATTATTATCAATTAAACCTTAACAAATCAGTTAAAAAGTAGCTCTAAGGCTAGGCTTACTGGTGTCATGCCTGACCTAAATGAGACCCTCTCAGGAAACATGCAGCACTCCACAAACAACAGGATACCACTAAAGGGCCATACTGCCCTCAGGAAATGGAACAAATGGCCATAAAGAAAATTTAAGATAGGACATACAATCTCCCCAATCTCACCTAAAATCTGCACACCATCTTTGGAACTCTGGCCCCAAGCATCCCATGCAGATTCCTTAAAATTATAACCCTATAAAACCTTAACTTTTCTGGTCAGCTGTTGAACTCACTCACAATCTCAGCCCAGCCTACACCCAGCTTCACTGCTCACACAAAGCCTATGTTCAGGTAGTCTCTCATGCGCCACTTGAAACAAGTGAAACATGCTTCTAATCCCAGCTACTTAGGAGGCTGAGACAGGAGGGTGGAAAGTTCAACACCAGCCTAGGCAACTTAGCAAGGCCCAAATTCAAAATCAGAAGTGTTGGAGATACAGCTCAATCCTCAGTACTACCAAAAGCAAAAAACTTAGCTCTTAAAGTTTAAAAAAATATTATATTTATATCCTATAAATTCACATATGATTACTTATATAACAGCTATTATGTTAAAATGAATTAGCATTATTTTTATTTCTGTTTAAGTTCAATTGTTTTTCTACTTCAAGTGTATAAATCTACCTCTATGATTTACAAGTTCACTTAATTAAAAAAGTTCTGACATATTAGAAATATAAAACAACTTTTAATATTTTCTAGAAAAGTTGACTTTGGTACAGTATACTTAACCTATGAATTAAAATGTTTTTCAACTTCTAAACATAAATATATACGGATTTTAACTGGTCAATTAAAAAAATAAAGTCAAGCTAGGAATGAAGTTGAGGGTAAAGTGCTTGCCTAGAATGCCTGAGGCCTTCAGTTTGACCTCCAACACAGTGAAAAACATATAATAAATAAATAAATCCAAAATGGGCTTTCACATACTGTACACTTACTTCTCTATGCCGTTGATTTCATAATTGGGCTGTAAATGAGTACCCAAAAAATGAATATTCTTATTCCAAAGAAAACCATTCAGGTAGCTTGATTTTTCACCTACTTAAGAACTGTTCAAATTTCTTAAATGTTGTACGTAACCTAATAATGCAACAAGGAGTTGAGAGCTCTCAAAACAGGGTTGGTTAGAGAAGTCTAAAGAAAAATACTATTTTTGGAGTAATTTTTGCTTGGCCAGACTACTAATCCTGATGGTTCCTATAACCAAAAAGTGCTTTTGCTTAATGTTTTCAATACTTCTGTTCCTCCACAGCTTCCTAAGTGTAATGAACATTTGACACTTACATATGACAACTGACAATCACAAATGACTAGGCTTCATAGCCAGAGGGTTTCATCAAAAGAGTGCGGGAATATCTTGTACATACCTACCCTTCGACACAAGCCCATCTCTAAGAAAGCAAATAATGAAATGAAACCTCAGGGAACAGGAGAAAGCAGTAAGAGAAAAGGGATAGATCTGCTTAGGCAGCCAAAGTAGCTCAATTTATTGTAGCATAAAAGTGACATGTCTCAGCCAAAGCCCCTCAACTCCTGCTCATGAATGCTCCCTCTTTCCCTGATTACCTTGTGGGGGGGTGGAAATATTTGTTTAAAAGATTCACAATGATACCACAACTCCTGACTCATTACATTTCTAATCTTTTCAAATGTATATTAGCCTTGCAAATGCGTATTTTTTTGTTTGTTTGTTTGTTTGTTTGTTTGTTTTTTGGTACCGGGGATCGAACTCGGGTCCTTGCGCTTGCGAGGCAGGCCACTGAACCACTGAGCTAAATCCCCGGCCCAGTGCTTATTTTTTTGATCCAAACAAACTGTTACAGATAAAGATGTTGAGTGTGACACTATGTTTATTCACTTCCATTAATCTTCTAAGTCACACTCATGATAAGCTAAATCTAATTTTATTTTTAAAACAGTAATTCAAAAAGTTCTATCCTTAGAGATTATCATCTATACCAATTAGTTAAAGTATCAATTCAGACTGACTGGAATGTGTCCAGATGCATTAAAACCATGAAACTAAAACTGTAAGTGAAAAACTAACACTATTAATTATTCATAAGCTCAATAAAAACACACTCATGATAAGCTAAATCTAATTTTATTTTTAAAACAGTAATTCAAAAAGTTCTATCCTTAGAGATTATCATCTATACCAATTAGTTAAAGTATCAATTCAGACTGACTGGAATGTGTCCAGATGCATTAAAACCATGAAACTAAAACTGTAAGTGAAAAACTAACACTATTAATTATTCATAAGCTCAATAAAAAATCTCAAAAAAAATCTATTTTTTCATATCACTTATAAAGAATGTAACATCCTATTAAACATGCAGGAGTAGCCAATAGAAAGCAATTCAGAATGTGCACAGAAAATGATGCCATAGTTTAAAAGCTTAAATTTAATAAAATCTTAAATTTTCTTCCAAGAGTATTTTAATGTGTATATACATGGGGACAGAAAAGAAGACTTTTCACATATTTCTTCTGAAGTACTATTTTCAGAATAAGAATGTATTATAAAAAAAACTAAGAGATAAACCGAACCAATGTACAAAGTAATGAACTCAAGCATTTCTTCAATTTTCTAATTCTACCAGTATGCAATCTATCAGCTTACCTGTAATCAATCTTATTCTTCCCACTAAAAATCTAAGGTTTTGTCCTCATCCTTTTTCTTAGAATCGTTGTTGAAGCTTTGAAACACAGATCAATTAATTACTCTTCTACTTTCCTATAACAACATCTTTAGCTATTTGCTGATTACTGTTTCCCATAATGTTCTTCCATCTTAAAACAAAACAGCAGCTACCCCAAACCAAAAGCAAACCCCTCCCCTCTACCTCACTCTTTCTTTGGCTATAGCCCTCTATCTCATCTCCTTTTTTACATTTACCTTTAACTCACAAAAGCCTCTTACCTCTTAACAATCCACTACAATCTATCTGCTACCCTTACCACTGTGTTATAACTGCTCGAAGACCAACAATGATGAATTTTAATCCTTGCCTGTTTTTAAGTACTCACCAAACATCTAACCCCTTTACTATCCTCCATGAAGTCCACATCCACAAGTTGCTGTGTTATCAACATGTCTCATTTTCTTATCTATTCTTAGCCTCTTTTGCCTCTTCCTCAGTCATTCCTTAAATATTGGTATTTTTCAACTTTCTTTTTTTAATTTAATTTAATTATTATTATTTTTGGTACCGGGAATCAAACTCAGGACCTTGTGCTTGTGAGGCAAGCAGGGGCCCCTCAACATTCTAGCCTACACAAAAAGAGGCAAATGTTTTTTCCCTCAACTGCTCCTTCTCCTCATCATCCATATCCAATACAGATCTGTTGAGTTTATATCCTAAAGAGATCTGACATTCACTTAGCTTTCAACATCCCCACTGCCACTTTGCTTGTACAGGCTAAGAGCTAATGATGGTTTCTGAAAAGCTTCATGGCTGGGTACCATGACTAGTCTTACCCCTCCACCCTTAATTCATTTTTTACTTTGGGAGCCACAGTGATTCTCCTA